TGTTATTGGAAGGCGTAGAAGTTTCTGTAGTAGAGAAGGCTCAGCAACCTTGGTCGGCCTTGCAACGCCTTTCGCTAACCTCGTACCGTTGTTTTCCAGCCTGTTAGGAATGCGCATACACATATATAAATAAATTAATGCGGAATACGCGCAAATACCTTGACGATCTGAGTAAAGAAATAGTAGTTTGGATTATTTCGGTACTGATAAAGGAGTACAAGGCATCGATTTATGAACTCTAATTATTTCTTATATCAAACGGAGTGAAGAATCTCACCTTGGTGAAGACAACGGATAGAACGGTGATGCCCCTGAGGGAAGATGTTATAGATCAAAGCCTCCGAGCGTCGTCTAACATTACCAATAAAGGTCATTCTGTTCTTGGAATGTGTTTCAATACTTCTTGGTCTATTGGAAAGGGCATCATCGATGATTTTATGGTACCGAGAACCGGTAACGCAAAGAAGAGAAGCGCTAATTCCTTATCTAGTTGGATAAGATTGATATAGCTTGCTGAAACCATAAAGTGTACCACACCACAACACGCCAACGCATTACAAATTAACGGACAATGCTACCTTGACCATTGTCCTACGCTCCCTATTGTTATCCTCCTTTATCCTTAAGAGAACTAAGGTTCTTCCGGAACAGTTTCACAAATCTTCAGTATCGTTGTTTCTAGATGATTTTTTCTTTTAAAAATTAGAAAATTTATTTGAAGACCCCCAGTTAACGTTCATTAATAAAGTTTAGGAATTTTAGGAGCATCTAAGATTAAGAAGTTTTAGTATCATAACCAGGAAATTGGAATCTCAATAATATTTAATAATAAATAGGCCTCAGTAATTTGAAATTAAAAAGTTAAAAGTTATTTGTTTATAAATAAGCCAAATTTTAATATTTATTCAGACATCATCGGAGAAATTCGCAAATTAATATTTTTTTTTTACAGTAGCCCAGTCAATGAATGATTATAAAAGAGAATGTCGGGGACACAATTTTTTACTTTAGGACATTGTTGGGACTATTAAGGAGATAAATATTCTAAAAGTCGTCATTCCTAAATGGTGAGCCAGATGTGGAGGAGGGGGCGCCCTCATAAGGTCACTTTTTTCAGGTTTTCGCTAATATCAGGAAAACTATCTATCATATCGACAAAGACACAGTATAACAAATTAATGCTGATAGAGTTTGCAATATGATTGATTGTGTACCTTTTTTCACTAACTTGCTTGGTATCCGAGGTATCCGTCCTCATGTTTATTGCTGTGTTTTGGGCTTCCGAGTAGTGAGCGAGGTAGTGAAAAAAAGTATTTGATCAATCATATTGCAAATGTTATCAGCTTTAATTTTATAAAGAATATCTTTGTTGATACGATGGATATTTTTCCTGATATAAGCGAAAACTCCAAAATTGTGACTTAGGAGTGGGAACTTTTAGTATGTCTGTCTACCTTCTTACTCGTCCAAACAATATCTCAATTTAAAAAATTATGTCCCTGCGATTTCCTTCTATACCGCCTTTTCGATCATTCATTGACTGGACTATTGTACATGTTAAAAATATATAACAGCATGAGATACTAGTTAGAAACAAATACGTCGATAATACGAAGTTATAATAGTAAAAACAAACGATTATAACCAATACTTAAATTCGTTTACTGTTTTTTCAGGACATTTGGAGTTCGTTAACCTGATCGGTATCATCAATAGTGAAAAAGTATTCCAGTTAGTTTCCTATGTCTGATCTATTTTTTCTCAACAATACGCAATACGGGCAGTCGTATGTAAACGTCGCAGTATACTATGGAATAAAAAAAAGTAATAAGACAAATTAAATTTACATTTGAGTTAATATATGAAAATATGACAAATACGTATGCCAATTTATTTTTAATAATGTGATTTATTACTTAATTTGTAATGAAAAGCCAAGTAATCATATAATACTTCATATGGAACCGTTTAACATATAATCTATAGAATTTCAAGCCAAGAATTTTTTTTCTTCAAATTAATAGCTTGATATTGTTTTGGTTGAATGATAACAAATACTTCATTGAATCTATTATAAATTAAATCCAAATAATTATGCAGTCAACGTGACGTTATATGACTGCGCGACCTTGATGTTCTAAAACAACGAAGGACGGTAGTAATTCTAAGAAGGAATTACACACTAAGCCTTGGCAAGTATAATGCAATCTAAACGTTATAATCAAAACGCTAATCTATATATTTGTATGTATAAGCAAATATGTAGGATAAAGTTTTGAAAGTATTGCTATTGGCATCGATAAGATAATATAAAGCAGCAATCGGGGCTTTTTTCCAATTCATGACAGAAACTTAGAATTAAGACGCCCTCTCTCCTTCCCTCTCTCCCTATCCCTTCGAATCATTATTGGATTACTTGATATTTTCTCCTGTGCGCTAAAACTACACAACAGAATCTTGTCTAAATATCGCCTATTCCACTTTCTTGTATACTTTAGGGTTGGAATAAGGAACGCCCAATATCTATATTGCCATCAATATTAATATTGGCCTGTAACAATCAATACCATCAAAATATAGGACTTCAAATATAATGGATAATGGATATTTTCGTCGATAATATAAACATTTTTGTGAATATGAATATCAGAATAAATAATGATTCTCTAGCATATAGACGCATCAAAAAAAGTCTCCCAAATAAGTTCAGTATGGCTTCCTCACCGTTTTCATTGGCTAAAAAATATCCATATTAAACTACACGGTATTCAATTTTTCGTATGAGAATAAAATCTCTAAGAAATCGCTTTCGAAAATTCAGTAATCCCTCAACATGTATGGGTTTGATATCCATGAGTTTTGTTTATCAGCGAATACAAAAATGCGAAAGAGTTCCATATTTGCAGATTCCATATGTGATGATTTGTGATTTAAAAAATCCCAGGGCAGACTGAACATGCATATCACTACTATTAGTGTCAAAGGTCGTATGTAAAAATTGAGTGTTTTGCAGAAGAGTATAAAAACTAATTATTTCTTTATGATTTATTATTATAATTTTATATTTTATTGCTCTCTGCTATTTTCTATTGTAGCCGACTACTTATATCGCAGACTACAAAACCTCACCTTTGGTACAAATAGAATAAAAGTTCAGCGAAATCCTAATTTATTTGCATCCTACATAGATTTCTTTCACAATTCGTGATATTGGTTTAATAAAGTTCTAATTAACAAATTTGTGCTAATAGAGTAGACTGAGTGTGAGTCCCAAGCGCGCTATTCAACTCAACTTATGGCCATCGGTAGTCGATATTATTGAAACGTCTATATTTTCCTCTACTTCACACTACACTCTATGTGAAACAAGCAAGCTGAAATTTTTTTTTTACTAACGATCAAATTTATACATAATTCCTAGCGCGTTCCGAAAACGATAGTTTTAATTTTAATTTTAAAATTTAATTATTAAAGGAGGACATCGATTGTCGATTATATCGAGATAGATACTATCGATTGTAAAATATCGAATATAGAAAAGCAATTATTCTTATTATTATTATTCTTCATTATTAATTTAGTGATGTTTCTAGTGGCTAAATTTATACCTTTATTCACAGTTCTATATTTCAACACTGCAATCACCTCTTTCGAAATCAACTTACTCACTGTCTGCATAGCTAACTTTTTCAACTAAAAATATCATTAAAATGACATTACTCAAAAATGTTGAAATTGGAGTTAGTCATTCTGTGGTTTATAAAAGCAAAGAAAGTTGTGTGGTTTATAAAAGTTGATGGAGTGACTAGATTTTTATTTCCTACCGTCGATATAATAAATAGACATTTTGTAATTGTAATGGTCTTAATGGCTTGTTATCTTAAAGCTTTAACCTTTAGCTCCGTTTAAAATGCACTTCAAAAATTTTATAATAGCCCAGCATTGCCGGAAAATAATTTCTATTCAAATAGAGCGGTAAGTGAAAGTTGTGTGTTGCGCGCACCAATTTTTTTTTTGTGTTTGTTTCAGGGTATATATTTTTTTATGATTTCATGTATTACAATATAATTATCTGTTTATGTATAAAGATCATATATAAACAGGCTCAGCGGCTGATGTAATATAGAGCAGCGGGCTTGGCCTGGTGCACCGTTGCCAGGTTACGTACCCGTACGGTAAACATGGAGAAGGTCGGGCTGGTTTGCAATCGTATCCCTCCCGCCTCTCGTCGGAGGGTCTTTGTTTTATTTTTCTCGTTTACTCAAGGACCCTTTCGGTGGCCTTATCGAAAACAGAACCAAGTACCATCGTCCCCGTGGCATGTGCGCGTGAAAACCAAGGACACCAACCACGTGTGGTCCTGATTATATTAGCGGAACCTATCGCTGATTCAAACACTTACTAGTCCAACTTGAGGAGAATTCGGACAACACGCGATGTGGAAATTTATCAGGCGTTTAACATATATCGTATATTTTCTGGAGCTCAGCATTCCTATATTAAACCTCACATATCGCTCATTCCATGGAACAATTACGCAACAATACAATTTTCGAAAAACGTTTGATCACGCCATAATTGTCATAAAGACTTAATAGAAAAAACATAACAATAACAGAAAAAATTAATAAAAGATTTTATATGAGGTGATGGTCGAGGGTGAGGGGAGGGAGGGAGAGAGGCGGTCAAATGAACACTATATATTAAAATAGTATTTTATTGTTAGCGGACGTTTCGACCCACTTTTTAGATCTTCGTCAGGGCGTGGTATCAAGCACTGCAGGAAGCAGTTGGTAGACTGGCAGTCGAAACAGATCTAGTACACATGAAAAAAGAGATTTTATAGTCAATGATATATTGTAATGATAACTTACATCATCGTCCCATAATATATTTCGCTAAATCAGATTAAAACCTTGACAATACCAGCGAAACGTCAACAAAACAGCTTTAGCATGTTAAATAAATTTTGCACATCATTAGATAAAGGTCAATTATTGTTATCCTTGAAAGTTGTTTTGACTGAGAACAACCACTTGAGAAATCTGTAAAGAACAGTCTTGTAATGAAATGAGATAAACATTGAAGGAAACAAACATACAATACCCATTCAGCACTTACGTAACTTATTTAACGAGAATAGTTGCTCATTTTTATTTATTTTAAACTCATCGACTAATCAAGTATGCACTGATTTTTTATCAAATGCCAATTTCGCAAAAGTTTATAAAGATTGGAATACAGGTAAATGACAGTTAATTACACAGTTATACAACAACGCTTTTATTTCAATTAGATAATATAAATAGTTTAATATATGAATTATAAATAAATAAAAGTTGTATAACCTGGAATAGTCCTGTTACAACTACACATAAGCTGTCCCAAGAATTCTTGGCTACGATTACCAACCGACTACTTTGTTGTTCAGTTATCTTTAATTGAATCGAAGTCATTTGATTTCGAAGTGATCAATCAACAGGCTTAAAGGTTTAGGTTCTCGCTTTATCGTGAATAGGATCATTTTTTGTTACAATAAAATATGTTCAATTTGACAAAAGAGCAATGACAATAATATTATAATTTACTTCGGAATTCGATAGGCTATAGAAAATATTAAAATCACAATTTTAATCGAAGTAATAGAAGATAAGTTATATAATATATTCCTATAGCCTTCACGATAATTGAAAAATTGTTACGTTGCCAACTCAGCATTCACTTATGAATGTTTTGGAATTCTTTAAAAAAGAATAATACCAACTGTCACATTATTCAGAATCATGTTTTATAACTAAAAATAGATATGAGCCGATGTTATATATTGCATTGTTTTTCTTTATATATTTCAGCTTATGAAACGTGTCACATTAACTGATATGGATGTTAATGGAGGGGTGTAAGTGATACAGAGAAGAAGCTGTTCATTATGAAGTAAACGAAACGGGCTGAGGATTTCATCCATTGAAAAAGTTATATGAATAAATAGAGATCGATAGATATTAGATCATAGGCGCATAGTTTCCATTCTGATTAGGAGGGCGATGGATCTCCCCACGAAAAAGTCTCACTTTATATTATGTATAAAAATAATGAGTGGCAATTAACATAATCAACATAATTATTGTAAAACGAACAATATGTCACGATATATAAAAATAAATACATTTATCGCTGCTGTTAGTGTAAAGGGTCGTATGTAAAAATAGAGTTTTTTTTACAGAAGAGCATACAAAAAAAATTTCTTTATGATTTATTAGTGTAATTGCATATTTTATTTCCCTCTGCTATTTTAATATTTTTTAGTAGCAGGCTACAAAATGTCACCTTTAGCTCAAAGAGAATAAACTATTAGAATTGTTACATACGACCATTTGCAAAAACAGTAACGATATACAGTAACGCTATATTAGTTTTTTATTTATTATTTCGCTTATGTGTATATTTTAAAACATGCGTTGCAAAACAATTGAATACATTACATATTTTTATTTTTATTTAAACGTTTCAGATATTGAGATGAACTCTCAATTCCCCAATGCTTTAAATTTGCCGATGCTTCAAATGTGCTAAAGTAAAAATGGAAGCGTCCATATGAATGAATTATAAATTCCTAGGATACATCGCTAACTAAGATATCAATAATAGGAACTATAATATACCTGCCTACCTACTTCTTAGCCTTGGCTTAGGCATCTAGTCCACTTTTCCTATTTTCTAAATTGGTTTTACTTTACATATTTTATTCATTTATTTAGATTAATTATTATTGATTTTAATTTTTTTTTGGACGATATATCGGGGATACGAAACGATATTCTCGCCCTCTCTCTATTTTTATTGGCGTGTAGATATCGTCTCTCTCACTCCTCTCCCCTCCTCGAAGTTTGTGCCTACGTATTGGATCAGAGGATGAGAAAGATTTTGCTGAAGGAAATTTGATGGGATGAACTCTAGTATACATTGTCATATTGTGAGATATTGAGGCATGTGCCATGATCCCAATAAATTGACCTATTTAAAGTTTTAAATAAGTTGAGTAGTTTAGACAGTTTTGTCGAATAGATAGAAAAGTAAAAAAAGCCCACAATCCCTGGCCCGGAAAAACCCCTTATAGCCTTGAAGGCGAGGAAGCGGAGGACTCTCTCCCCTCCCCTCCCCCCCCCCAAAAATAGATAGAAAAGTAAATGGGTTATTATATTTAATATTCATTAACATACAAATAAAAGAACAAAGTCAGTCCACAAATGTTCCTCGGTGATTATACAAATATAGGCAAAATCTTAAAAGAAGTTTGACATTACCCATAATAATCCTCCTACTTTCCTTAAAGTGCATGTTGCATTATTTTACTTTCGTTTCTATTTTACGCTGGATCACTCCTTGTTTATTGAAGCGGCTAATAAGTTACCATCTAGAGGCTGACTGAATTTAGTTCAGTCATGATCTTCAGAACAGAATCCGAAGCTCTATGATTGGTAGACAAAACTCATCATTACTACATACCAAAACTATATTAATCGTATTATTAAGAAGTGAATAATTGTAGCACGAATATACATAGTAATGCTCTACCTTTAAGAAGGTCAAGCAAAGACACGAGTCACCACATCCTGTAGGAACTGTTAGGAGTCGAAAACTGGAGTACGCTCTTAGAGCACAATCAATTTGTCCCACAGGCAAAAGAAGAACATCAGAAATGTAAATGTGCTTAGACTCATTAACATAAGGTCCCTTTCTGGGTCAGTTCACACTTTCATCCTCTGCCTCCAATGTGATTTTCAGCTCGGACTACTTTCTATCTCCCCATTGTCTTCTCGGCCATCTCTCTCTTTCCGAGAGCATAAATATTAATTAAAGTCTGTCTCCTTCTTTTACATGATAATAGTTTCACAATTGGTTAGTAGAATTTTCATGACACCAGTAGTCAACATTTCTTTATTTAAATTGATAGTTGTACTGACTCTAAAAGCTACGTAAAATACTTTATAATACTTTAATCAAAACAAAGTAGTTCGACTCACTGCAGGCACGGTGCCCCTATGTATACAGTCCCAGGTTCGAATCCGGTTGTGGCATTACTCATTCTGTACCAGCCTTGGAGTAACACTGTTATTGGGGAATCTTCCTGCAGTACACATTATCTATAAAGTTGGCAGCCTTAATCAATTAATTATGGAGGAAAACATGGCGGAAGAGCATACTTTTAGCTAAATCCCTTCTTTGGCATGAAACCAGTACACCCTTACAAAGTACTAAACGCAAGATCCTTCATGGGTTAGAATGGAACAATTTTTATTTTATATATTTTTAATTTAATTATTATATTTTTAATTTAGTCGAAACTCAGAGTTAATGAAGAACCTCCATGATCTATTCAATTTGAAAAGTGCATAATGATGTTTGACAGATCTCGTCCTGGCCATATTGTATTGGCTGTAAATGAAGTTCAAAAATCTTAAAACGACTCACTTGGAACCCCCATACCAGACTGAAACGACTAGAAACCGCCCGACGTTTTCGACTACTGCAGCACTTACTAGACAAACGATCTAAGCTTTCAATCAATTATAAACGACTCGTATATATGACAATAATAAGACCTATTTGGGCTTACGGAATTGAGCTTTGGGGCTCCACTAAACCATCGAATTCCTCTCGTATCCAATCCTTACAATCCAAAATCCTTCGTAAAATCCTCAACGCTCCTTACTTTGTCACAAATAAAATCATCCATAAAGACCTTAATGTTCCATATGTTTCCGATCTGGCCCAATCCAGATACCTTTCCTTCCATAACAAACTGCAGAATCATCCGAATCCTCTCGTTTCAAACCTTGCTTCATCCTCGATCCCTGATAATCCTCCGAGGCGTCTGAAAAGAAGATGGCCTCGGGATCTTCTAATATAGAACTTTAATTTGAGTTCTACCAATGGGTAGTTTCTCTTCATGTTGTACATGCCATGTTACAAATTTCTCATTTACTTATTGTATTCTCTATGTAATACAGTTGTAAATTCCATTGAAATAAAAAAAAAAAAAAAAAAAAAAAAAATCTTAAAATAAAAAATCTTAGAAATTAAAAAAAATTAAAATAATACTATCCACAATACAAAGTTTCTTATTATGGCATTTAAAAATCGGTCGTCGTGATATATTGAAATATGAGAGGCACCGCATAGTTTAGGATTTAATTTTCTGGGAGGCTTCAGTCCGAAAGTTATATATATATATATATATATATATATATATATATATATATATATATATATATATATATATAAATTAATACATTGGAAGAAAAATAAAGAAACTAACTACCTATGTGAAAAGGTGTTTAAGTGATTCTTGATGTCCTATTAAATGTAATTAATTACATTAACAATAGAAATAATTTTTTATAATACATGATTATATTTTACCATTTTTAGGAGGGGCTTCAGTGCGAAAGACCCCCCCCCTCCCTGCAGATCCACCTTTACATATGTACACGGACAGATCTACGGGAGGACTTTGGGGCTGAAGCTCGCCCAAAATGGTAAAATATAACCATGTTTTATAGAAAAAATTATCTCTTAAAGTATTATTGTTCCTGTAATTACATTTAAAAGGACTTTAGGAATCACTTGAACACCATTTCATATAGGTTTTTAGTTTTTTCTTTTTTTCCAAAATAATTATCGTTATTTTTATGAAAAAAAAAAGCTTTCGGGCTGAAGCCTCCCTAAAATTAAATTCTAGATCCGCTAGTGCATATGTACATGTGTATATGTAATATGTGCATATGTGCATATATTACTATAGATGCTTTGCTACATAAATACTACATTATTCTATAGTGGTTGGACGAAAATTTCAGTCAGTTGATATCAATACAAATGAACTTTTTCCAAGATTTTTAGGTGAAGTGCATTAAATCTTCTAACATTAAAGTATAAAATAAACTATTACGCACTCTATTTTATAAAAGGAGCACCAATAAAAATACATTGTGGAAACTTGTAATCAAGCCTTCTGTGACTAAGTATTTTCCAACAAAACAGGATCCATGATCAACTGAGTAATATGGAATGACATTTAATAAATATGAAGTATTAAGTACTGATATCATTGTGGTGATTTTTAATTAGAATTTGAAAAAACTATTCATATTTATTTTATTTAAGGAATGAGCGAACTGGAACAATGGAGATGGCCCGCGAAAGGGTGTTCCATTTCCGAGCGAGTTTCCTTCCCAGCGATGAATCACCACTTTCACTGGATCACGACTGGCGCAGTTTCGTGATTTACTTCTAGCAGGGCTTCGGTGACCCTCTTCGGGATCGGCCGCTAGTTTCACCTTCTCACAACTAAATAACACATATTTCCCCGGTTCTATTAACCTAATGGGTAGGGAATCAGGTAGTCTACTGACCCTCCGTGAACACAGTCAGGGAAAGGATCGCCGTCGGATCT